TGAATACACTAATGAATGAAAAGCATGGCTTATTATGGTAGGTTTATGATTCCGGTCTGCCAGCATAGGGTAGATTTGATTTTAATATGATTTTCTCATTTCTAGGTGGGTGGCCGTCTGCATCGACCAGTTGGGGTTAGAGACGGGGGAGGGTAGAGGGGTAAGTAAGATGGGTGGTAAAGACAAACATACAAACACAACAAGCCTGATGCATGATTTAACAACTTTTTAAAAAGATTTTTGAATTGCTCATGTTGCCAAGCCTTATGTGTGGCTGTCACGGTTACACAACAGTTTGATGATTCAGGCTTTGCAGCATTCCCATCTATGTGTCACTGCAAGTCACAACCTGCCCCTGTCTGTAACAGCCTGTTGTTTAAGGAGGGTGCAGTCCATTGCTTTATTACTTTCATTTAAAGTAGACTCCAGTCTCAGTTTAGAATAGTTTGTATATGCACCCTGCACAGGGAGTCACTCATTCAGTAGGCAATATATGTAAGGTGGACCTATTCCAAAGAAGCCACAGGACATCAGAGCAAATATCATAAAATATGTAACTTTTCCTCCAAACTGAAAAAAGCACTTTTGGCATACAAAAACATAAAGGGTTAGTCCTCACTCCTGAGCAGAGCAGTTGAATAACTCAGACAGACTTGCTGCACTTAGTGGGTGTGCTCAGTCATTCTCTGCCTGGAGATAATAACCATATCAAGAAATCTATGATGAGCCGATGTCTGTTTTTATGTGTTTTTTTCCAACCCACATACAGACTAACTAGTGGAGTCTCACCAATCTCATGGCATAACTAATATATAGGATTGCCAAAAAACACATAGACTATGGTTACACATGGAACACAAAAGTAAAACTGTATTGTATAATTACACCAACAAATGACAGCTTATGATCTGCTGACAATTATATTTAAAACACACTCATGGGCCCGATTAAGGAAACTGATAAAAAGAATTTGGGCCAATAAGCAGGATCAATCATGGTAATCAATTTCCACCCCTAGTTGTGACCCTTTACACTGTACATTCCTCGTAGGCGTAAAAACCTACTTGGCAATAAACAAAATTCTGATTCTGATTCTGATTCTAAAAGAACAATAGGCCTGCAGTTACAGTTGAAAGGCATGGGTTTTCTCATGTATTACTTCATGTCTAATGAGTAGTAATCTTGAATCCAGTCTGCCTGACTATCGGTTTCAGTCTGAGTGACGTTTTATGGCTGACCATAATAAGATTCTTCCTGTTTCTGTACGTGTGCACTTACTTCTATTTGCATTGGAATAGAGGATGCCCCACCCAGCTCAGCTGTGAGCTATACTGACAGACTCATATGTGTCTGAACCTGAAAAAAACAACAAGCCTTATGGCATGCATGGTCAGAGACTAGGTACTTTTTTTTTTTTACTATGTTTCTATTCAAAATCCCAGTGGGTTACTAGATAACAAGTAAGGTGTAATGCTTGCTCATCCTGCCCCGCTGTCTCCATTTTTACGGTGGATTTGCTCCCTGTGTTTACTAATGTCAATGACTGTAATTCTGAAGAAGAACCACACCTATACACACCTATACCACAGAGCCATGACAAAAGACTGGTAGTTAAACATATGCAATAAGGATAAAGAGATGTTAAGGTTTAGGGTGTGGTCAGAGCTTTCTCAGAGATAGAACAGCAGACAGGCCATGTCCTCAGGCAGTCTTCACCTTTCCAATTATTCTGGTGTGTATAGGTATGCTTACATCCATGTAGGGAGAAAATAAAATAAAATACAGCTTGGGAAATTTTTTTTTTTTTTTCTTTTTGCCCATAACCAGAGTTTTGAAATAAATGTGTGAAGTCAGATGAGTATATGAGTGGTACATTAGTTGAAGAAAAAAGTAAGTAGAGCAAGCACACTGAGGCACGGACGTAATTTGGGGGGGGGGGCACAGGGGACATGTCCCCTGCA